CATGAGGCCGTGGGACTAATTTCGCTTTAATTGGATAGGAGTGAGTACACAATGGGCAGTGTGAGGGAATGACCGCAAGCCAGTCCATGGAGGGGGAGCACTTGTGCCTATCAAGTTGGTCGGCCTGGGAGTGAGAGCGAATGAGCCCAGCCTCCCACTGACCTGGGTGAGTCTACAGAGGGCAACACTTAAATGCCGCAAAATATGAACTAGTCAGAACAGACGGCTTAGGCTGTCTGTTCTGGCAGTACAGGCTGTCTACAATTAGACAACAATTTGTCATGCCATCTTGAACAGTGAACTGGAAATTCAATGTAAAAGTTCTGAGGCCCCCACTATTGTGCATACTAATCAAACCGCCAATCACAAGGAAGCCGGCTACTCCAGCTACTTTAAATTCAGTCTGGAAATATTTTTTAGCTAGTTCTCTCATCGAAACTATTAATATTTTTTTCAGAATCTGTAAACTATGTTCTAAGGCTAAGCAGTAAAATTCTTGAACTGTTTAATGGGTGAGTATTAAGTGGACGCGTTCATGACTGGCACAAACTCCCATTCCCTCACCTTCACGTCCCATTTCAGATTCTCAGCATTGCACTTGTGGTACGACTAGTGAACTGATTCTTCTTTGAAGCGCTATAGGTACTTCAATCTAAATAGCTTTGCAGAAAGATGAGCAAGAAATATAGCTAATGCTTTCGTGTAGGATGGCTAAGTGGTGCAAAGTATTGTAAGTAGCTGATTAGACTTGATGGTGATTACACTAAATGCTACTGTAAGTACTACATTTCTTTCTTGACTTGAAAGCTAAGTGATAATGAAAAGCATTTGAACAAGAGAGCAGAGCAACCATTTTCTTCGGAAAGACAAAATAAAAAAATATCCCATTTGAAAGAATGAATAATGATACGAGGAAGTCATAGTGGTGTGTGGCTCTGCTCATAGCAGAACACTGTACATTAAGAATAGTAAATAGTTTGCCTGCTGTTTATAAAGTATGCTTTAGTAATAAGGGATGCAAGGCTCTGAAACTAAGATCTTAGTGCATTGCAGTAATTTGCAATGTAAGCGCTCCACACTTTACTGAAGAACTTCGTTAATACAAGCTAGAGAAAATTTAGCCTACTGATTGATGTTTCTGCGAGAAAGTTATTAGGTATTACCATCAGGCATTTTTCTGATGTACAGAAACAAACTGTGGGGAAATTTATGGATATAGTTGAACTTAGTGAATCACTCGTTTTCTCCTTCCTGTCAGGTATGCCTTGTTTCAATATAGTGCTTTCCATGTTTTTTCTCCTCTGAATGTTCTCCAATGAATTTAAATCCATTCTGTATGATCAAGCTCTACATAACAGAAAAAGATGTCAATATTATATACTACATGTATAGCTTTATGTAGCCTTTATACTAGTCTCTTGTTGATTACCGTGTCAAAATTCTTCTTACAGCCCAAGAAAATGCAATTTTTCCATCTCCCCCCACTCTCTCTTTCTCTTTCTCTCTCTCCCCCCTGCCTTCTGTTATCCTATCGTAGAACTCTAGTAGGCTCTTGAGACAGGATTTACTATTACTGAAGCCGCGCTGGTTGTCATGCATGGACCCACTCTTCTCCTGGTGCTTCACCACTCTTCCCCCGATAATCTTCTCCATAAACCTAATGACAATGGTCTGTAGTTTAACGCTACCAGTCTATCTCTCTTAAAAACTGGAACTACATTTGCTTTCTTCCATCCCTCCAATAATTGTCCTGTTTCGATTGACTTATAGAACATTGTTACTAGTGGCAAATACAGCACCTCTGCTCCATCAGTATGCACGGAAAAACATTATCTGGTCCCACTGCCCTCGAGGTATCAGCATAGACAATAGCCTCTTCACCTCTTCCGAAGTTGTATATATTGTGACCAGCTTTCGGTGTCGCGCTCTACCACTGCCCCAAATCACTTGTTGAGCTCATCATAGACTGGTCATAACTTGTGAGTTCTCGTTTTTCTTCATTATGATTACCTGATCATTCACCGTTGTCTTTAGTCCTGATGTGGCTATATAACAACTTTGGGTCGGATTTGGCTGCTAATGTTTAGTCATTTTCCAAATGTCGTTGACCTTTCTTTCTTAGCCAAACCTTTTTGTTCCTGACTCTTCATTTCAATTGTGTGTGTGTGTGTGTGTGTGTGTGTGTGTGTGTGTGTGTGTGTGTGTGTATTCACCTAATTGTGGTTGCAGGGGTCGACACTCGGCTCCTGGCCCCGCCTCTTCACTGATTGCTACTAGGTCCTCTCTCTGCTTCCTGAGCTTTGTCATACCTCGTCTTAAAGCTATGTATGGTTCCTGCCTCCACTACATCACTTGCTAGGCTATTGCACTTCCTGACGACTCTATGACTGAATACTTCCTAACATCACTGTGACTCGTCTGAGTCTTCACTTTCCAGTTGTGACCCTTATTTCTGTGTCCCCTCTCAGGAACATCCTGTCTCTGTCCGTGTGTGTGTGTGTGTTTACCTGGAGTTTACCTGGAGAGAGCTCCGGGAGTCAACGCCCCCGCGGCCCGCTCTGTGACCATTGTGGATCAGAGCCTGATCAACCAGGCTGTTACTGATGGCTGCATGCAATCCAACGTACGAGCCACAGCCTGGCTGGTCAGGCACCGACTTTAGGTGCCTGTCCAGTGCCTGCTTGAAGACAGCCAGGGGTCTATTGGTAATCCCCCTTATGTATGCTGGGAGGCAGTTGAACAGTCTTGGGCCCCTGACACTTACTGTGTTGTCTCTTAACATGCTAGTGACACCCCTGCTTTTCATTGAGGGGATGTTGCATTGTCTGCCGAGTCTTTTGCTTTCGTACTGAGTGATTTTCGTGTGCAAGTTCGGTACTAGTCCCTCTAGTATCTCTCCCGCCTGCATTCCAGGGAGTACATATTCGGGAACTTCAAGTACTCCCAGAAATTGAGGTGTTTTATCTCCGTTATGCGTGCCGTGAAGGTTCTCTGTACATTTTCTAGGTCAGCAATTTCACCTGCCTTGAAAGGTGCTGTTAGTGTGCAGCAATATTCCAGCCTAGATAGAACAAGCGACCTGGTTTTGAAGGTTCTCATTATCCATCCTCTCATTTTTCTAGCAGATGCGATTGATACAGTGTTTGGTCCTTGAAGGAAAGATCCTCTGACATGATCACTCCCATGTCTTTGACGTTAGTTCTTCGCTCTATTTTGTGGCTGGAATTTGTTTTGTACTCTGATGAAGTTTTAATTTCTTCATATTTGCCATATCGGAGTAATTGAAATTTCTCATCGTTGAACTTCATATTGTTTTGTGCAGCTCACTGAAAGGTTTGGTTGATGTCCGCCTGTAGCCTTGCAGTGTCTACAATGGAAGACACTGTCATGCAGATTCGAGTGTCATCTGCAAAGGAAGACACAGTGCTGTGGCTGACATCCTTGTCTATGTCAGATATGAGGATGAGAAACAAGATGGAAGTGAGTACTGTGCCTTGCAGAACAGAGCTTTTCACCGTAGCCGCCTCAGACTTTACTCTGTTGACTACTACTCTTTGTGTTCTGTTTGTGAGGAAATTATAGATCCATCTACCAACTTTTCCTGTTATTCCTTTAGCACGCATTTTGTGCGCTATTACGCCATGGTCATACTTGTCAAAGGCTTTTGCAAAGTCAGTATATATTACATCTGCATTCTTTTTGTCTTCTAGTGCATCTAGGACCTTGTCGTAGTGATCCAGTAGTTGGGACGGACAGGAGCGACCTGCTCTAAACCCATGTTGCCCTGGGTTGTGTAACTGATGGGTACCTAGATGGTTGGCGATCTTGCTTCTTAGGACCCTTTCAAAGATTTTTATGATATGGGATGTTAGTGCTATCGGTTTGTAGTTCTTTGCTATTGCTGTACTGCCCTCTTTGTGGAGTGGGGCTATGTCTGTTGTTTTAGTAACTGTGGGACGGCCCCAGTGTCCATGCTCCCTCTCCATAGGATTTTAAAAGAACATGATAGGGGTTTGCAGTTCTTGATGAACACGGAGTTCCATGAGTCTAGCCCTGGGGCAGAGTGCATGGGCATGTCATTTATCGCCTGTTCGAAGTCATTTGGCGTCAGGATAACATCAGATAGGCTTGTGTTTACCAAATTCTGTGGCTCACTCATAAATTCATTTAGATCTTCGACTGTCAGTCTGGTTAGCGGCTTGCTAAAAACTGAGTCATACTGGGACTTGAATAGCTCACTCATTTCCTTGCTGTCATCTGTGTAGGATCCATCATGTTTAAGTAGCAGCTCAGTACTGGATGTTGTTCTCGACTTTGATTTGGCATAAGAAAAGAAATACTTTGGATTTCTTTCGATTTCATTTATGGCTTTTAGTTCTTCCCGCGATTCGTGACTCTTATAAAATTCCTTTAGCTTTAGCTCGATGTTTGCTGTTTCTCTGGCCAGTGTCTCCCTACGCATTTCTGATATATTGGCCTCTTTTAGCCGCTATTATTTTTTTCCGTCGCCTGTAAAGAGAGCGCCTGTCTCTATTTTACATCTACTCCTTTTTCTTAAAGGAATAAGCCTTGAGCATACATCGAGTGCCACAGAGTTAATCTGTTCTGGGCATAAGTTGGGGTCTGTGTTGCTTAGTCTATCTTCCCAGTTTATATCGGTTAAGACTTGGTTTACTTGGTCCCACTTTATGTTCTTGTTACTGAAGTTGAATTTGGTGAAGGCTCCCTCGTGACTGATCTCATTTTGTCGGTCTGGGGCTCCGCGCATACATGTCTGAACCTTGATTATGTTGTGATCCGAATATATTGTTTTTGATATGGTGACATTTCGCTTCAGATCATCATTGTTAGTGAAGATGAGGTCCAGTGTATTCTCTAGTCTAGTATGCTCTATTATTTGCCAGTTTAAGTTGAATTTTGTGCAGAGATTTAAAAGCTCGTGTGTGTGTGAGTTGTCGTCTGAGCTGCCTCCTGGTGTTGTCACTGCAACAACATTATTTGCTATATTCCTCCATTTTAGGTGCCTTAAGTTGAAATCCCAGAGGAGCAAGATGTTGGGGGCAGGAGCTGGAAGATTTTTCCAGACAGTGGTCAATTTTCAACAGCTGTTTCTGGAATTGTTGGGACGTTGCATCCGGAGGCTTGTAGACTACCACAATGACTAGGTTTTGGTTCTCGGTCTTTACTGCTAAAACTTCCACTACATCATTTGAAGCATAAGCAGTTCTGTGCAAATAAGTGACTCTGCGATATACAGGCCAACCCCCACCCCCTCTTTTTGCCTGTCGCATCTATATAGGTTGTAACCTGGGATCCATATTTCGTTGTCCAAGTGATCCTTCATGTGGGTCTCTGTGAAAGCCACGAATATTGTATTTGCCTCTGCAAGCAGTTCAGGGATGAAAGGCATTTCGTTGTTCGTTGCTGGCTTTAGACCCTGTGTATTTGCAAAGAAGAATGTCATCGGATTGGTGGTACTGGAGGGGGACTTTTTTTTCCGGCACTAATATCTGTATCTGTTAGTTTGGAGTGGAGGCCATCGACTGTGATTCCACTCCAGAAATGACTGGATTTGGTGTACGATTTCTGCCATTTCCTGCCAGTTTTTTTTTCCTTCCAGGCACTTAAAAACCTCTCCCTCTTGAGTGGCTGTGGCTACCCAGATTTTCCCATGGTCTGGATGGTTTGTATCTTTTTGTCCCCTTTAGATGGTGTGCCTGGCAATTTAAGTTATAGCACTGTCTTTCCTGTACTGAAGAGGGACACATTTCAGGGTGAAAAAGCTTACAGGAAGGGAGTTTGCATTTTCCTGTTGTCATATGGGCACGGCATTTTCTAGGGTGGTCAAAGTTGCACGTTCCATCTGTTTTTCCAGATATCCCATGCTTGCATATACCAAGGGCATAATATGTGCACAGGCTTGATTTCCGTTTGCCTTGGGTTTTTGTGACTGTATTCCCTGTTGGTGCATGTTTTCCTGTCTCATTCCTATCCTCACTAGTACTACCAATGGAGCTCTCACCAGTTGTTTCTGGTAATATATCTTCACTATTACTAGTGGAGTCCTCTTATTTGCTATCTCCTGTGGTATTATTAGTTTATAATATTGGTTTTATCTTGTCCTTGACTACGCTTGTTTCCCCACTAAATCTCCTGTCTCCCTCGAGGCCATTAATATGCATTCCCTCATACAGTTACTGTCTACCAGGGCAGCACCTCTAGCCTTACAGTTACTGTCGGCCAGGACAGCATCCGCACCAAGGGCGATAGCACCATCCAGCCCAGACTTTTTATTTTCCCATCTGTTATAGAATGCTTCCAGGTTTTCTATGAAGGCTGCTTTGATGTTATTCTCTTTTAATACCAATGTGATTTTAGTCCACAGATTGATCTCATTTGGGCATACCCAAAAACACTTCCCTGATTTAATACCGTTTGTAGATAATTCTTGGATATCTGCACAAGGGGCATGACACCAATTTCCACAAAAGTGGCATATAATCAATGTGGAAGCCCGTTTGTTTGATTCACTGCAGACTACACAGGATTTCATAATGTGATTTCAGAGGTTGATTGGCTGTAATTCTACTAATAACCTCTTGAATATTTTACTAATAACCTCCTTAAAGTGAAGATCTGGCTATTAGTATTCCTATTTCTAACTGTACTTGTGTATTAGGACAAGCTTACCGCTCTACATTACTGCTTTATAGATATTGTTTGTTTTTGATAAGGGCGCCTAAAACCCCGTCTGTTTATAATCCGTTTTATTGTCCAACGAATCCGTTTGAAACCGGTCAAGGGTTCGGAATCAGTCGGATCTGTTCAGTGTATCACTTATTTAAAACATGTCTGGTCGGTGATTTGGGCTAACACATGAAGGAACTACTGGAAATTATTTAATCGAGTAATATGTGATTAGATTGATACAAAAGTATAACTTGTGTGTTGGAGAACCGGTGATTGCTGGCAGCTCCTGCAATGATGAACGGTCGAGACTTCAACCCTTATTTACAGCCTGAAGGTTTATAGATCACTTTATTTAGCTTTTCTAGATTTTTTCCGTCTCCACCACAACAAATGCTATGTTATCACTATAGTTGGCTGGAGAAGAATATTGGAGGACAGTCACTTTTTCTGGAGTAAAATTTGTTTTTCGTTGTGTATATTGTGACCGCTGCTAACTACAGGTTATATGAATTTCCACTGTATGTCTAGTATTTCAAAAATGAAGAAAAAACTAATGATGGTCAATCCACCCCACGAAGTACCATTATGTTACTGGTTAGTTGCCACTACAACACTGTGGTAAGGTTTCTGGATGATAAATGGTCTTATTGTTGTAAACCTTCACTGATATCGTATTTTTTTTTTGTGTGTGTGTAAAAGTAATGTCCGTTTTTCACATCAACGTTGAACATCGTAATAGCTTTATAAGAATATCAGGTCGTGCTCACAAGGTTCGTCTAACACATCAGTTTGTCATATCCGGGACACTGAGAATAATCGAAGGGGGTACAATCATCAGGTAAGGGTCCTGTTACACAGATCCTTTCACTAGGGTCAAAATATCCAAGTGGGCATGTTTCGTGTTTATAAGGCTCCGCATATTGGGTTAAACACACATAATATTTGGTGCAGTCAGTAGGATCTGGGTTATATCCTACATGTTGACATTTTTTAGCATTAGGAAGTGTTGTGGTGACAAAAGAACACGCACTTTCGCAAGAGTCTGAATCTTGGTCAAAGTATTCATTGGGCCCGCATTGTGAAACTCTAGTGGAGTTGTCAGGGAGACAGGTGTAGGAGTAACTGCAGTCGTTGGGGTTGACTCTGGTGTCAGTAGATCCGTCGCAAGGAGGAATATCCGGGACTACAGGGGGCTGAGGCTCCTCGCATGTAAGACTAGTAGATGAGAACAACTTCCCGTTATCGCATTGATACAGATCCATAGTTGTATGATCGTTAGTTACTTCACAATAAATGTAAAACGTTTCGTTGTAACTATCGGCCATTAATCCTGTCTTCTCACACTCGCATGTTTTAAACTCTATTACAAAGTCATACGGCAGACACGCCCCTCCACCAAAATTAATATTATCGGTACACGCTTCAGTATCTGCACAGACGTCGATATAGGGGATGCCATTAATGCATTCGTAAGCTGTCTTACAGTTGTAGCAGCCAGCGAGGGTTTTGCCTTCTTCACATAGGAACTGAAGAGCTGGAACTGGAATTATGTCCCTTAATCCCATAGTGGTGCAACCTGGCTGCTGATCATGGGAAACACAGCGACGCTCGTCCGGGGAATAGGGAAAGCCGAAACAATGTTTTTCCCTCGTAGTGAGCTGACCATTGCCACCTTCTGGTATACAGTGCACATAGCTGCCACAGTCCTCTGGATGTGGGAACCTTCCCGGTGTCTCACACTTCAATATACTGTCCAAAAGTAAAGAAAACTTCCGTATAAGGTTTACAGATTAAATAAATTAAATAACTTTTAGTATAAATTTCACAAAAAAATAGATAAAAAATACCTCAGTGAATCATTACCCAAAAAAAATCCATATTTTTTGAGGTAGTGATAAAGGTTTGATATTAATGTTTTAGACAGCACTGCTTTGTGATTTTGAATAACATTTAAATCAGCATTGGCTGTAATACTGGATGATGATGTTTGATGCAGATTTTAGCTACGACGAAGAGGTTAATATTGGAGGCAGTGTTTGTGTTGTTAAATGTAATTATTTGAGCTTGCTTTGAATTGTGATATTTCATTCTTTTTTTTTATTATTATTATTAACACATCGGCCGTCTCCCACCATGGCAGGGTGGCCCGAAAAAGAAAAATTTTCATCATACACTCCATCACTGTCTTGCCAGAGGCTCGCTTACACTACAGTTATAAAACTACAACATTAACACCCCTCCTTCAGAGTGCAGGCACTGTACTTCCCATCTCCAGGACTCAAGTCCGGTCTGCCGGTTTCCCTGAAACTCTTCATAAATGTTACCTTGCTCACACTCCAACAGCACGTCAAGTCATAAAAAACATTTGTCTCCATTCGCTCCTATCTAACACGCTCACGTATGCTTGCTGAAAGTCCAAGCCCCTCGCATGCAAAACCTCCTTTACCCCCTCTCTTCCACGTTTCCTAGGCCGACCCCTACCCCGCCTTCCCTCCACTACAGATTTATACTCTCTCGAAGTCATTCTATTTTGTTCCACCCTCTCTACATGTCCGAACCACCTCAACAACCCTTTCTCAGCACTGGATAATAGTTTTGGTAATCCCACACCTCCTAATTTCCAAACTACGAAGTGTTTTTAACTAAAACATGGCATCCCATGCGAGAAGTGTCATGTATCCTGGGGTGGTGTGTTACAGCCATACGTCTGGCAGTGTTACTAGGCAACCACAGGCCTACCATATACAACCATATAACACCATATACCCATATCAAATAACCCAATCTAGATTAGTGTGAGGAACTCAGAAAGATCAGTAAATTAAAATATATGAGTGATCAGTGATGAATGAATCTGGAAGGAGCTATACAGTAAACAATTAAATGCCATAATATAACCATAATATAGTCCTTTCCCCCGCCCCCCCCCCAAAAAAAAAAAGAAAAATCACCCACTACCCACATGCCGCAAGCCTCGGTTTCTATAAATGCATCTCACATATTACTGTCACCAGTGCAGAGAAAGGTAAAGTGGAAATCAGATTTTTGTGGCATACAGAGTGAAGTAGGATACGGCAGGATGTCAGTACAGTATACCTGTGGAACACGTAAAAAAAGTCCTTGGAGGAAAATCCAGAATCTTATGCAACCTGTGCATTTCCAGACATATCTCTTGTGCAAGAATAAACACTGCCTCTAAAAATGACCTCGAACTGGCAAGGTGATTCTGGTTGTGCAATAAAGATATAGAACTTTGGGAAGGTATCAGAAAGGTACTAAGGAGGGCAATAAATAATAAAAATAAGAAAATAAAGATGAACTCTTGAAAAGTCGACCAAAGATATATAAAACATGGTAGGAAGAGATAGGAGAAGTGAACCCAAAAATGCAGAATGCCCATTCCACATCAGATGACTCGAAACTATATAATCACCCACTGAAAAAAAAGGAAACAAATACATCAGTTAACACCCCTTGTGGAAAATATTGTATATTTTCCGAAAATACGGTAATTTATAGGTAAATAGATGGCCTATATTGTATTTAATAAAAATTTATGCCATAGAAAATGGGAAAGCCTGCGTCTGCGCAGAAGGACAGTCGCCATTTTGTTTGAATTGAATAACATGTTGTGAATAATGGGAAGAATTTTTCGTGGTCTAGAGGTTAAAATTGGGCTGACACCTCTCAAATAGGAGGCGAAATTGTTGGATGTGCATTCCTGCATAACTTGAGAATCAGGCGACAGGACAGGACAACTCCAGGAACCTCAAATAAGCTGTCTAAATTATGTTTAATTTCTGGCCAGTAAATTCTTTATAAATGTAGGCAAAAGGGGGGGTCCTGCATATGACACATTAATTTCCAGTCAAATTGGTGAGTGTTATGATTAAGAAATATTCTCCTTCTGTTGTATAAATGTGTATATATGTGTATCTATAATCATTTATTTTAATATACAGTCCACAAATTTATATATTTACCAGTATTCCTGAAGATGTATAATTCATTTAATTAATAGGTCAAGAGCAACTTGTGGATATGACAGTGGTAGGTATCGAAGGGGGGACATTTTTTACGACCTAGGTGTCCCAAATTCCTACTTGTCTAACTGATAAATAATAATTATCTCTGTATATTTACTGTTATGTACATAATGGTACATTCAGATAAATGCAATTTTCCACATTTAATTTTCCCGTTGGTCCTTCTTGAACTTGAGGTAATTAGTGAAATCATTAATTAGTTAATTACTAAATAATTATATGTGAAATGACAGAAGGTGGTGGATGTTAAGTTCACAAATTTACTTAATATGTAGTGGATTATAATTATTAAATATTAATTTGCATAAGGCAAGTGTAGCTAATTATGTTAATGTGTATAATAATTTTGCAAAGCCAAAGTGGCTAGGATTTATATTAATGTATTTGCATAATATTAATTTGATAAGACAATTCTCTCCAAGATTTATATCAGCGTATGTGTAATTGATAAGACAAGTGTGGCTAAAGATTACATTGTGTATAATATTAATTTGCTATGCCAAATTCTGGCAAGGATTATATTAATTTGTGTAATATAATTTTGATAAGCCAAGTTTGGCTAAAGGTTTGTATTAATGCACTTTTAAAATTATATTATAATTTCTTGCATGCGTAATTGCTAAGCTCAAGTAGCTGGGATTTGTTCAAAGGTAAGTTGTATCAGTGTTGTAAGTTGTAATCAGTCTTATTAATTAAGTTGAATTTAATAAATTGCATCATGGCTGAAAATGAGGAAATTAATATAGAAGACAAACATATGGAATATAGAGTAAAGAAAGCATCACTACAGGCTAGAAAAGTTCATGTAACCAAGGCATATAATAAGTGCTTGGATTTAAAATTGTATTTAGATGCTTTAGGTAATAGATATGATTCATACAAATTATATTACAACAAATATGAAGGAGATTTGTTAGTAAACTGTGTAGATGAGACTGAAGTAGATCAGCATTATGAATTAGAGGAAAAGATTCTTTCTTGTAAAAGTCAGGCCTTGAATAAATTAAAATGTGTAAACCAGGCAGTTAATCAGTCTGCTCCAACAAATAATATGTCTTTGCTAAAACTCCCAGAACTATGTTTACCTGCATTTAATCCTGGTGAAAATTGGGAGGAATTTTGGTCAATTTTTATAGCAGCTGTGCATGACAGGAGTGACCTAGCCTGTGTAACTAAATTATTTTACCTCAAAGGACAGGTAAGAGGAGATGCTCACATACTGATACAAGCCTTTCCCAATGTAGATGACTCTTACAAGGAAGCAGTTGACTTGTTGAAGGTCACTTATGGTAATATAGAACAAAGTAGGTTGGATCTAGTGAATATCATTGTTAATTTAAAATCTCCAGATCACACTTGCAAAGGTTTACAGCAGTTTAGAATTAAACTGGAGAGCACCCTCAAAACTTTAAGTAATAAATATAATCTGAAGGAATCAGACTGGTTATTGAGTGCCACTGTACAGAATAAATAAAACTATAAAACACTTGAACGGATCTCTCGAAAAAATATCACAAAGGTTATTTTGGTCTGGAGGAAATAAGACTAGGTCTACAAGAATTAATTATTCAGTTGCAGACCAGCCAACTAACTCATTTTAAAGATGCAACACATAAGAATTCTGAGGTATCTGTCAAGTTTCATAAAGGGGAAAATTATACCAATAATAATAATCAAAATTCATTTCCTAAAAAGAGTTGCATAGGTGCATATCAAGTAGCAGGAATCAGAAATAATGATTCTCCACAAGATAAGAAGAATAAGTACCCTCCTAAGAGTAGCCCAGTTAATAAGAAATCAGTGAAAGAAAAGAGAGATTTTCTCTTCTGCAAGGGTACTCATTTTTCTAAGTATTGCAATGCATACAGTTCATGGAAAGATAAAGTTGAAAGATTGGAGGAACTTGACAGATGTATCAGGTGTTTAGGTAATCACAATGTAAAGGATTGTTATGCCAAATTAAACTTCCGTTATCAATGTCACAAAGGAAGACATCATATAGTCATGTGTAAAGTCTATATGATAATGTTTATAATAATGATAATGTTGACAATCCTGACACAACAGTGGCTAATGTAAAATTTGCTGCTAATGTTAATAATGATGGTTTTGCTGAAGTAGCCTTACCTGTGTTGCAGGTAAAAATTGATGATAAAAGGCATAAATCAAAAAATGTAAATGCATTATTGGACCAGGGATCCCAGCGTACTTTCATAAAACTTAAATGTCTTGATGGTATGAAAGTACAGATGGGAGATCCCACAACTTTAAAATTATCTGGTTTTCTCTCAGATAAAAGAGCTCAATTGTATGACACTGTTTATGTAACTGTCAGGTTGGGCAATGAGAAAAAACGTGTTAATGCAGTAATTGTAGATAGACTTCCAGAGAAAATATCTACAGTAGGACTTAGTAAAGCTACAGAAAGACTCTCACATAATGTAAATTTAGCACCTTCTGGTGTAAGTGATGATTCTGTAGGCCCAATAAATATTTTGATAGGTAGTAACTATTATGCCTCCTTTGTAAAGGGTATGGTAAAGAAATGTGGTGTCACCCTTTTGAAGACTGCAGGAGGCCATGTAATGTATGGTAGGATTCCTCGTAATAATACTTCATGACTAGAGGAAACTACAAATACCATAACTGTGTGTCTTACTTATGAAATCGTACCCCAGTATAATTCTTCTATAGAGGATGGTGTTGAGCCAGTGCATAAATTGTGGGAATTAGACAGC